TGGCTCCTCGGCCCCTCATGGCCGTGGCCAAGGCGCTGGCTACTGTGGCCCTGGCGGCTGGCCGCCCTGGTAGGAGCGGAGTAAGACCTTGTGCTTGGTGACGGCCTCGCCGCGGCGCCGCTGGTGCTCCACCAGGAACTCCTTGAGGCGGTTGGTGGTGAAGGTCAGGGTCTGGCGGCGCAGCTTCATCAGGTAGGCGTCCTGGAGCCAGGCGTTGGCAAAGCAGTCCTTCACCGTGGGGCGGCTCCTGGGGCAGGGGTGGCTCAGAGTCAGGGGCCACGGGGTACTTGCTGCTGCGGCACCCCACAAACCTGGCCACCGCCCCTGTCCTACAAGACCAAGGGGGTCCCAGACCTTTCCCAGAGCAGGGATGGACCCCAGGGTCCAGGGCTTAGGAGATCCCAGCCCTCTCCAGGAGCAGGGATGGACCCCAGGGTCCCACTGATGTCTTGAGGGTCCCCGTGGGGCAGAGAGCTGCCCACTTGGCCTGGTCACGGGTGCAGCCTGAGGCCACGTGTCCTCCCTGGCTGGGCCAGGCACTCACCAGGGGTGGACGGCGAGGACCTTGCGGATGAAGAGGGCAGCGCTCTGCGAGACGTTGGGGTACAGCTTGAAGGCATCAAAGCGCCCTGCCAGGATGCGGTTCTCTGTCTCGATGGGGTCCAGTTCAAAGAACGGCGACCGCCCGCTGAGCCTGCGAGGGTGGAGAGGATGGGAGAGGCTGGGGGGCACCGGTGGGAGGGCACCAGGGACCCTTCCCTGGTTTGGAACAGCCACAGCTACCCAGGGTCTTGATCTCCCTGTCCAGCTGGGAAGGGTCTTCAGGGCTACAGCATCCCCCAGCCCACCACCAGCCTTGTGTACCCCCTGGCACTGGAGCCTGGGTGGGGCTGGCTACGCCTCAGGGTGCTCGTCCCCCCGGCCCCTTCACTTACATGATGTAGGTGAGGACGCCAACGCCCCAGACATCTGCTGCGGAGCGACGCGCCACCCCAGCTGCCGCAGCATGAGGGGGTTGTAGGTCTGGGCGCTGCCGAAATCGATGATCTTCAGGGCGTTCATGCCAGAGATGATGACGTTGTCCGGCTTGATGTCGAGGTGCACGATGCGGCGGCCGTGCAGGTACTCAAGGCCCTGCAGGAGCTGCAGCAGGCAGCTCACCACGTCGTC